CCCAAACTTCCATGGCTCCTCTCGACTCCCGACAACCCTAACCTCGAGCCTAGGCAGCGCCCTAACTCCGAGTGCCGAGAGCTCCAAGCGACGCGTGAACCCGAGATTATTCTTACTCGCCGAAAATTACTTCTAACAAAGTTACTCGTCCGCGGATTAAATCTATGTACATGCACCGAGCTGTGGTATTCATGTTGCCGTTGCGATGTGCTTAGGTGTTCTACGTGTTACGTGAGATGAATGCGGTAATTATGATTCAAAATCGACCGTTGCGTCGCAGAAAATCGATGTAATCGGTCGTCTCTATAGAACGACAACATATTCAGCTTGAATTACAGTCATCTTATAAGGATGCGATACTACTAAAGAGTTCAACGGTTATTCCGTGCAATGATACTTGCATACGCATAATTTCGTTTTATCGTAACAATGCCGTTATACCGTTGATAGCACAAAAGCAACCACTTGCGTGGAATTAACTGGATACTCGTGGCCACGATCGCTCGCGTGCGATGTTAAGAATGTTTCTCGAGCACACCATTGAGAATACTTTATCTCTTCACACATTCGTAACATATACATCGGGAGTATTATGGCTTGAGGCTTTCTTCCTTTTTTGTTTCTTGAATGAAGAAACAATACTTCTAATATTCGATTAATTAACTAAAACGTTTGATTTCTTATCGAAAACCATAATAATAAATTCGAAAATAATTTTTGTGATTAGTTTCTAATTTAGCAATATTTATTTTATAATTCTTAGAGATTTTATTGTAATTGATCTTATTAAACAAAAAGACGAAAATTATTTGCACGATTTACTTAATACAAGTTAAAAATATAATATTAAATAAATATTAAAAATAAAAAAAAAAAGGAATCACAATATCAGGATTAAAAATCTAAAACGAAAAAGAAAAAGAATCTTGTTCGAAGTGATGCTTCCCAAAGTTCGTTGCTCCGTACATGTTGTCTCCGCATAGTCCGCGGAACATTGGCCGTTTGCCAAAGTCATTCTCACATAATTTCAGGAGAATATAAGTGCCAAAAAATATACGGAACTCATGGTTATAATTCCGATATAAATCTATAAGTAAAAGAATAATTGCCAAGAGGTTTTTATAATTAATATTTTCAAGAATTCTTATAAAATATTAATATAATGTTCGGTTAACTAAATTTAGTATATGCACAGAATATTCGGTAATTCTGATCATATATATGTATTTAATGGTTATATTTATATATTTATTTGTTCTTGTTTCATCACAGATTATATATAAAATTATACTTTTGTTAATTATCTTCTGAGAAGTAAAGATATATTTGCTGAAAGAAAATGATAATTTATTCTTTAAGTCTTATGCAATTATCTGATATTAAATTGATAAATTTTTGTTTACTCTTTTTACAATTACAATCATTTAAAAATATTTTTCTTTTTTATTAAGAAAAAAGTAAGATTTATGTGTATATCTGATAGAGATGATATATTAGTGCCATCTGGTTGTGGACATACTGAACGAATAATTTGATTGCATGTCGATAAATCGATAAAGTTATCGTTTACTTTCTTGTTATTGTTACGTTCTTGTCATTATAATTTTATTTTAATTTACAAATAAATTATATACTTTAATTAAATTTTGAAATAACTTTAAGTACATAAAACTGTAATATTTCAATTTTATTTGAAATCAAAATATTAGAAATATAATCAAATATTTTATATTTGTCAATTAAATAAATAAAAGAAAAAATAATTAGTGATATTTTAAAATTTGTTATATTGTAAAATTATAAAATTTGTAAAGTTATTTTGCAAACAATAGTAAAAATAATAAAAATGGAAATAGAAAAAATTAATAATATAAATTAAAAGTTTGACTACGTGAAGATAAATATATATTAATTTTTAATTCTGATGGTTCGATAAACAAGGTCAGAAGTTAATGTAATGATTTTAACCTCTGATAATTATATTAGCACATTAAAAATAAACTATGTAATAACGCAATCGAATAAAATAAATACGAAGATCATAAACGTATAAACACATTATGTATATATAATTCTTATACATATTCAAACAATAATGATGCATGAAATACCAAATAAAACTAGTAGATATATTGTTGTTTATACATTTTTAATTCATTAGTGTACGTTTAATACGCCAAGAAATTCCATTTAAAGTTATATTTAAATTTCTTTTAAATGAATCGCACATGTACTTTTTTTTTTATTTATCTACTGTTTACGAAATAAATTTAATTTATTAAAGATAAATAGAAAACTTTATATATTATAATATAATAAATTTTTATATGTAACAATAATAATAGTACTTTTTATGCAATCTTTTTTAAATTTTTATAAGAAAATAAATAATATGAATTAATAATATAAATAATTAATATAATTATTAGTAATATATAGTTATTATATTTCCAATATTATAACAAAAAATCTAATCTTTGAATGTTTTTTATAATTTAATTGCATACGATTAATTGCATAATTAAGAAATTATATGCCATTGAATATTACTTAATGTTTTCATAATCTTTTCAACATTCGAAAAATGAAATCAACACCACGATCTGTATGTTCCAAGGGGAAAATTAATCTTAGGCGATAATTCAAAGCCACGTTATCGAGAAACCTAATGTCAATTGCAAAGTTAATCGATGCTCTCTCTCTCTCTCATTCACCGTAGAGATACGAATGGGGCTGGCAGGTCGTTGTTCCTAGTCAAGATCATGAGATCCCCATTCCCGACATTTCGCAATGCTGGCGTAATGCCTGATCTCCGCTTCCAATTCTGCCGAATGCAATTCTTCAGAATTCGACGTGCTGCACTCATCACTCAATCACGCATTGACTACGTGAATAAACGCTTTCAGACGTACGAGTGACACGTACCATATCCAAGCCATATCGATTTCCCATTGTCCTGTATAGGCATCTAATGCGTACACCTTTGTCGTATTATGACAATTGATGCAAAAATATTGCATTAACGCAATTAGCATTATAATTGATAAATAAGAATCATATGTAATTTTATTGAAAAATTAAATTATACCATAATTTTTTATTATTATTTCCTAAGAAAAAAAAATAATTTAACTTAATATTATTTAATATTATTCATATTATTATTATGAAAAGTTTTTTCAATAATCTTTAGCTGATATTCGAATGATTCAATTATTTTATCTTTCAGTTTAATTCTAACCTAATTTTATACATCTTAAATATATGTCTCTATATCTATGTACAATTCATATAATAATGCAAAAAAAAAGGCTTAATTTGTCGCTTAGTAATTACATTTTAACTTATGTGAAATAATATTTGCTAAATGATTCGTATCCAGAAAAAAAGTCATAGATAAAAATATCACCTTAGCTTATTCAATTCAGTTATAAAGTCCAAGACAACAATCTTCAATTCAAATTTTGCTAAACGATCGAAAGTAATAGAACGCATGCGCATATTGTGTCACCGGTATCCACTTCAGTGTTAATCATTATCCCTCAGAATTCAGTGTTAAATGCGTTAGATTAAAATAACAACGATTATTAAAAGCAGGAAGAATTACATAGCAAGGTATGAATGTAATACAGAAATATCTTTATATGTATATCTACATATATAATTTTATGTGATAAACATTATTCAAGTGCAAAATAAATGCGATTAATCGATTCATTTATTTTTCAATATTTGTTATTGTTTTTGTAATACATTTATCATATATATTTAAATCGCTTAATATCGTTTATTGGCTTACAATAATTTTTAATATATTTATGTAAAATATAATTTAAATAGATATGTAATGAATAATCAATAAACACGTGTCGAATATGATTGCATAATAAAATATATAGAATATTAAAAATTATTTAAAAAAGATATAAAAAATTCATTAATTTTTACGATTTATAAATTTAAAAATAAATATTTATAAGAATTAATATAGAAAATAAATATAACATGTTTTTAAAAAGGGTTAGTTAAAGTGCGCATGCGTTTAATATGTGTATAATTTCGAGGTTCATGTGACAAATTTCTTTCCTCGAATAAGGATATATTAATCGTGATTTGACAATATAATCATATAAAATAACGGTGAATTGTGAAACTGTAATAAGTTAAATGTTCAACATTGAGAAAAAAATAAATTTTTTTCTCAACTGATAAACTGTATATCCTAGTCTAGGAGGTTAGAAAATGTCTCGTTCAAAGACATAAGAGCTTTGTTTACTTTTTACTCACAGATAATAGAGACGTAATATATAACAAGGAGGGGTGAAATACAGTACATATGTATGCATATATTCATATGTGAAAGGGAAAAGGAGGGAGGGAAACACATAACACCCCGAGAAGAGGCGCATTGCAAGACTAATACGACGCAGAAAGAACGAGAGTGCGCGTCAGTAGGTTTTACCCTGACCTCGGTCAGACGGACATGGTTTAATTTAACCGGATCTCTGCAAACTCACAGTTCAATCTATCTTTGCCCACTGGTACGTTCAAATCCTCGCGACGTTCGCGATTTAACCTCACTCTTTATTGGAAGAAAGAAAGGATAAGCTGCTTTTCCGGTATGTAAAGTGTATTTTCAATTCATAAATCAAATTCTAAATCTGATTCCATGAATAATTATATTACAATCTAAATCAATTAAATGAATAATGGTAAAAACAAAGCAAATGAATTGTTAAAATTTTATATAATAATTGTAACTATTCATATTTTGCTAAATATTCATTTGATAGATTTTTGGAATTCAATGTTCATATATTCAATAAAATTCAATGAAATATATATAATATTATTCAACAATGATAATTACTATATGATAATACGTTTTTTAATAATAATAATTTTAAAAAAACAAAATTTATGTTTATTTTTATGAACTTGAAAGAAGATTTAATATATTTCTATATTATTTTATAATATATGTAATTCAATTTCATTTTTGTTTAAAATGATGGTGTTGAAACTTATTTTTAAAAAGGAAAAAGAAAACTAAAGTATTAGTTTAAAATGATATTAATTGAAAGTTTATTTTTTATAAAAAAATAATACTATTTATTTTCAATTTAAATACTGTTACATTTACTTAAAATATAAAAAATTAATATATCAAAAAACTATCTTGTAAATATAATTATTATCCATAATAATTCATAAATAAATTAATTTAAATTTGAAAAATATTATATTTAAATTTTAATTTTTTAATTAAAGTTGAAACTATATAAATTATATTTAAAACAAATATATTAATTTATTTACAATTATAATATTAATATTTTAAGACAATCTTTTATACA